ACTCAGCCTGGAACTGAAAATATGGATGGAGGACCTCAGTTTAGCTTGTTAGTTTGTCGCCGTAGCACTGAGCTAAAACATGAGGCAATACATCATCAGCGCTAGCACAAATGCTAACAGGCTAAGCTGAGGTTCTTCTTCCATGAAGCAGCTCTGTTGTCCTCCATCCATATTTTCAGTTCCAGGTTGAGTCATTTCTACCTTCTCCTCTCTGTCAACGCTCTCTGGTTTCATTTAAAAGAGTCAATCATCAGATATTGTCCAAGATTAACCTTCAGGATGGATATAGCTCGCAAGCAGCCTCACACCGAGGACCTATCCACGTCATCATTTACCCAGAATGCTTTGCGTGTAAATAAAATGGCTCCGTCCGTGTTAAAAACTATTTTTAAAAATTTACAAAACTAAACAGCCTACATTATTTTTACAGTCTTTATTTTACAGTTAAAATATATGTTTATCAAATAAAGTCTAATGTTACAACTAATCGGGGATTCCACTAGGCACAGAATCAAACAAAATAAATCCCTGCAAACATTTACAGTACACCACAACATTAGGGGATTAATTATTCACTTCATTTGCTTCACCCCATCACACACAAGCTGCCCCTGGATGTATTACATGGGCTACATCACCTCACACACACCACACACCCCCATCTGTTGGTGTCATTAGCAGCTAACGTTCTGTTCCCTCGGACACTGTTACAGTAAACACTGATAATTGTGATGAATCGTCTCAAACTAGACGCTCCRTTCATCAGTTTCCTGACCCTGTTCAGAGATGTGTTCACTTTGTCAGAGGAGATCCAAAATGAAACACTCGGGTAAGTAAGTGGGAGACGGGGGACTGAATTGACTAGAACAAGCTGACACGGGTGATTTGTCTCTTCTAAAGGATACAGAAATTCATTAAGAGGCAGATGAACAGGAGGAGGAGGTGAAAGGACTCGTGGTGACAACTGGACCCGTGGCTTATTTCTCACTGAGTTAATTCAGCCACACACACACACACACACACACACCCCAAACCAAACTTCACTTTATCTTCAGTGTCACTACAAACTGGTCATCCATCAGCTGGCCATCGCCCCTGTTCCTGGCAGCGCTGGGTTTATGTTTCTGTGTTTGGAGCAGGTAATGGTTGCCTCAGACACAARTGCAGGCAGGGACCGATCACATTTATCTTAAACTGTGAGTAATAGAAATAAATGGTGAATGTTTAAAAAAGTACTTTACAGTTAGAAAATATTGAAAGTTGTTAGAAACCAAAGTGTATTCAAGATAAAATGTGTSAGAAAATTAAATCCCGACACAGTGGATCGTCTGTTGTCTTCATCAATCACACTGACTGGATAAAGTGATAAACCTACAGCACTGTTGTCTTTACATGAACAGCCACTTGCTTCCAAAACCCTCAGTTTTTCTGTGGTTGATAGGTTAGCACAAGTCGCTGATGTGGAAAACCAGCAGCAGGTTCTCTGCCTGCAAACGTGAGGAGGTTTATCTCTCCAGCTGTGCTCCACATTTTATCACCTTGGCCTAGTTTATAGTGATGGGCAGTTTGAAGCTGAAGCTTCGGCGCATGTATTGAAAAAAACAACACACTGTTTCAGAAG